ATTTTTGATATTTAAAATTCTCTTAAAGATTTTCTTATCAGCTGATAATAAAAAAACAACTTATTGAAGCCTATAAAACCCAGCTCCCAGGTGGGGGCGCAACTGAAACCTCATGGGACGGGGGGGCGTTCTAGCCCGTCCTTCACACCTTACCGAGGTCACCAGTTGCCCCCCACGAGCGGCTTTCCGGCACAGCCATGACTCCAGAGCACAGAAACCAATCTCTTAATTATCTGACTCTCAGTAGAAATACTTCCAGGGTTAATAAGTAAAATAGCAGAAATCCAAAACCACGCGGCCACAATTGCAGCCACGCGATATCATTTAATTCTTGAACCCAGCTGTAGAAAGCAAATCATTTCACAATGCTTTTTCAGCATGGCTGATTTTGGGGGGGGGGGGTAAACTCTAAATAATAATGGTGCAACTTTTATCTAAACAATGAAGCTAGTCAAAGTAGATAGAGTGTTAACTAGAATTCATCTGCTCACAGGCATTGGGGGGAGGGTGGGGGAGTTTATTGGGGTTCTTCGTGCTGAAAAATAAGTATTGGTAAAGGGAAATGTGATTGACATTTGCATGACCGAGACCTAAACCTGAAAGCTTTGTAACTTTTCCCACAGCGATTCAATAAATAAATAAAAAATATAAAACCCAGCTCCTGGAAGCGCTCGTGGCCGCGACATCTTATCATCTCATTCCTATTTTGGACAAACTGGCAGGCTACCGAATGTAACCTGCCCACACGGCAGAGTCCGGCAAACTCCCCGTGTTGTGCTCAATATGCCAAATACCAGTAACAATGAAGGGTCTCATTCTCCTAACTCTGAAAGAGCCTTGAATATGACACTTTTTAAAAAAATCTCAGGGTTAGGACGAAGGAGACGTTACTGGGGCTGCTCAAGGCAATCGATGAATAACAGGATGGTCGTGATTGTGATTGATTGATTGAAGCGTGCATATGCTGCTTGAGCAGATGTGTTGGTTTATTGCTTCCATCTCCCCTCTTGAGATATATACTTTCAGACCCTCATACTTTAATGCTGGGATGTGTCCTAGGGCGCTCTTTCCACTCTGAAGAAACCCTTGTTGTCTCTTGAGTCTCTCTCTCTCTCTCTCTCTCTCTCTCTTTCTCTCTCTGTCTGTCTGTCTGTCTCTCTCACCCTCTCTTCCTTCCTCTTTCTACCCTTTCTCGAAACTTCCAAATCAAACCTATTTTTACTTTAAAAAAACAAATCCAATAACAGTAACAGTGCAGGAGAGATAGTACAGCAGGTAGGACGCTTGTCTTGCGTGTGGCCAACCCGGGTTCGATCCCTGGTATCTCATATGGTCTCCGAGCACTGTCGGGAGTAATTCCTGAGTGCACAACCGGGAGTAACTCCTGAGCATTGCAGGGTGTGGCCCAAAACCAAAATAAAAGAAAACAAAATCAAGTTAGTGATAGTTTTTTTGATGAGAGAGGGGGAAAAAACCGCTTTCAGGATGGGGATCTGCTCTTCAACACAGATATCTTCTGTAAATAGCATTGGAAAAATACTGTTAGTGAGTTCTTTGTGTACAAATGTCTCTTTTAACTTATCCATGCAGAATCTGAAAAGGAAAGCCACTTCTCTTTCATTAGTCACGAGGTGCATGACAACAGAATCATTGATGCAGTAGGAAGAGAGTGGGTTCCAAATCTCACTTAGTGATCTAGAAGAGGGGAGAGGTAACTGATGTTTTGCCTCAATCTTTCTCCTTCAGACTCCTGCCTCAGTTTTTCTCTTAGGGCTCTGAATGTTTTGCTTCATTCTCCTTCTGTCTAACCATTCTAACATTGTTTTTCTTTCAATTCTAAGATGAACTTTGATGCCTATTCTTATTTACAGGTAAACTAAACTTGGGGTTATTGATTGTTTTGTTTTGGCACCACATCTGGCAATGCTCAGGGTTTACCCCTGGCTCTGTGCTCTGGCATCACTTTTGGAAGAGCTTGGGACATTACGGGGTTCTGGGGATTGAATCCGGGTCTCCCACTTGCACAGCAAGTACCTGACCTGTTATTCTATCTCTTTCTATCTCTCTAGTCCCTGTTTTTGATGTTTTTAAGGGATGTTAGGAGATTAGAATTAAGTAGAGGAGCTGGAATGATACTCCAGTGGGTAGGGTGTTTGCCTGGCACCCAGCTGACCTGGATTCGATTGCCAGTACTCCAAATGGCCCCTCAAGTACCACCCGGAGTAATTCCTGAGTGCAGAGCCAGGAGTAACCCCTGAACATTGCCAGGTATGGCCCAAAAAGCAAAATAAATAAACACAGTAACAAGTCTCATGATGGAGACGTTACTGGGCCTGCTCGAGCAAATAAATAAATAAATAAAATTAAGTCAATTGTCATTTGGGGAGAGGGGTTTGAGCCATGCTCTTCAATCAGTACTGGGGTATTTCCGGCTCTGTGCTAGGAGTTTGCTCCTGGTGGTGTTGATCATAGAGTGCGAGGACCATGCCATGTCATGGAGCAAACCACAGCCACATGCAAGGCAAGTGCCTTAACTCCTGTACTCTTTTTGGTTCAGTTGCCACATTTTCTATAGATTGCTGCTTCTTTAAGTTATAATATACTGAAAAAATATATATAATATAATTTTAAATATATATTTAATATATAATATAATTTAAAATATATAATTAAAATATTATATATATACATATATATATATATGTATATATATATATATATGCTTTTTGGGTCATACCTGGTGAAGCACAGGGGTTACTCCTGGTTCTGCACTCAGGAATTACCCCTGACGGTGCTCAGGGGACCATATGGGATGCTGGGAATTGAACCCGGGTCGGCCGTGTACAAGGTAAATGCCCTACTCGCTGTGCTATTGCTCCAGCCCCTGAAATAATATTTTTATACTTTCAGACCCTCATACTTTAAAGTCCATAGGATGTTGACTTCTTTTTTTATTTTTAAATGTTTATTTATTTATTTATTTTGCTTTTTGGGTCACACCTGGCCATGCACAGGGGTTACTCCTGGCTCTGCACTCAGGAATCACCCCTGGCGGTGCTCAGGGGACCATATGGGATGCTGGGAATCGAACCCGGATTGGCCACGTGCAAGGCAAACGCCCTACCCGCTGTGCTATTGCTCCAGCCCCGGATGTTGACTTCTTGCATAGTAATTCCCAACTGTACAAAATATGAAATGAATGTTTACTTTTTGTGGGGAGAGGCAACACTCATGATTGCTCAGGGACCATGTGCTGTAGATAATTGAACCCACCCTCTCGTCTTCAAAGTATGTGCTCCAGTCCTTTGAGCTATCTCCATGATCTTTAAATAAAGTTTTTGTGATTATTGTTTTGTTTTGTTTTGGGGCCACATCCAGTGTTGCTCAGGGCACAGAGATCACTGTGCAGAGAGATCACTCCTGACTGTGCTCAGGGAACCATTTGTGGTGCCAGGGATCAAACTTGGGTCAGTCAGATGCAAGACAAGTGTCTTATCTGTTGTACTGTGTATCTCTAGCCCACAAAGCTTTTATTTATTTTTTAAAATCAATACATAATTTACAAAGTTTGGGAAAATCTTGACGTTAGTGTTTCAGAGACAGTTTTATAGTTTTTAAGTGTTATGTGAGGCTTAAATATGTATTTTTTCTTAACTTTTGGTATACTTAAAATTCTATAAAAAGTTTTTCTGTTGTCTTTTTTTCAGTTTTTTTCTTTTGGTATCCTAAGATTCACGCATGTTGGTTATCAGGCACCAGTCATATTCATTTCCATCAGTTTTTCTAAGGTATTAAAAAATAAAGAATCTTGAAGTGGTATTAACAGTAGGTTTTTTTTTTTTTGCCAGTATAATGTGAAACACTTTTGGTCTTAAATGGAATAAACCCAGTTAATGGAAGTGAGATCCTAATGTGATAAGATTTTTTTTTTAAATCTTTAAGGAAATTTCCTCATATGGGAAACTTTATTCATACAACTAGTTCATTTCCCTCCCCATATATAGTTTTTAACAGAGCCCAGGATTTCAGGATTTCATTGTCGTCTTAACTAAAGTTGAAGCTTATAACTGGATTACTAGGGTACTCCTTTTATTTATTTATTTATTTATTTATTTATTTTTTGCTTTTTGGGTCACACCTGGCGATGCACAGGGGTTACTCCTGGCTCTGCACTCAGGAGTTACTCCTGGCGGTGCTCGGGGAACCATATGGGACCCTGGGAGTTGAACCCAGGTCGGCCGCGTGCAAGGCAAACGTCCTACCCGCTGTGCTATCTCTCCAGCCCCTTTTTATATATAAAAAATATATATTTTTTAATTTTCTGTGCATGAGTTCAAAGCCCTTGCATTTTGGGTTGGAGAGATGCTTGTCTTGCATGCTGATGACCTGGATTTGATCTCCAGCATCCTGTATGGTCCCCCGAGTCCACCTGGAGTGGTTTCTGAATGTAAAGCCAAGAATAATACCTGAGAATCACTGGGTGTGACCCCAAAACAAACAAACCCAAATGCTTTCATCTCTTAATGACGAGCACTCTCTTAGATCTCAGCTTATCTCAACTACGTCCAGCCTCAACACAATCTTCTTTATCATTTTATCCTTTTCCCAGCAAATTAGCTTTGTCTGACCTCCATAGTACTTTGCCCCCTGTCATAATACCACTTTCCCTGGGCATGCAGAGAATCTTTACCTTTCTTTTTCTTTTTATTATTATTGTCCTTGCTTTTCTTATACTGTGGGACTTTGCAGTGCTGTCTCTTGCCACGTTTTGACAAAACATCGAGTGGATTTTGAGTGCATTCATCATGCTCACAAGAGCAGGGTCTACTAGGAAAACCTAAGGTGATCAGATTTTATAGAAGAGACGAGACGTTTCTGTCGTGTCTATTCTGTTCTAAATGGGCATGAAAATATCATGGCATGTTCTCCAGGTGGACACTTTGGCCTCTTGCATAGCTGCTGCTCTTAAGCTGCTCTTCTTGTTTTGTTTTATTCTGTAGGTACGACACCGCGCTTCTGGTCAGGTGATGGCTCTTAAGATGAACACGCTGAGCAGCAACCGGGCAAATATGCTGAGAGAAGTCCAGCTCATGAATAAACTCTCCCATCCCAACATCCTCAAGTAATGGCTTTTCCACTTCCTTCTGGGGATCACCGAGAAGGCTGAAATGTTATCGGAAGCTGCTAAAATAGTGATGATAAGAGCTTGCAAAGAGAGATTTGAGGTCCATGCTGGGTCTCTCGTGCTGGGTCTCTGGGGCTTGGCCATATTTAGGTCCTTTTCTACCTACTGGCATAACTTTCTGGTAATTAGCAACGTTTAATTAAGCAACTTCTCTCTCCCGAATTACTCTACTCTAGTATCAGCTCATTAGAACCATTATTTTCTATTGCTGAATTAGAAATTTGTCAGAGAAAAGATACTAGTTTCTACGTGGTAATTTAATTTTCTTAATCACTTTATGGAGGAATTGTAATTAAATCAGTGAATACAATAAGAGTAAAATTATGTCCCCAACCTATTCGCTCTGAAGTTTTAGTACTTGAAGAGGCAGTTTGCCGTGTGTGTGTGTGTGTGTGTGTGTGTGTGTGTGTGTGTGTGTGTGTGGTGCCAGAGATTGAAAGGGAAAAGGCAAGTAATCTACCACTAAGCTACATCCCTGACACCATAGTTTATTTATTTATTTATTTATTTTTGATTTTTGGGTCACACCCGGCAATGCCCAGGGGTTACTCCTGGCTCTGCACTCAGGAATTATCCCTGGCGGTGCTCAGGGGACCATATGGGATGCTGGGAATCGAACCCGGGTTGGCCGTGTGCAAGGCAAACGCCCTACCCGTTGTGCTATTGCTCCAGCCCCCATAGTTTATTTTTTTAAAAAAATAGAGTGAAATTATAAATTATCATACTCTAATAATCAGTATCTGCGTATTTCTCACTTTACTAATGTAATTATTTCTAAATAAGTATTTCTCACATTTTTAAAGTTTAACTAGGTCTTTTTATTTTGGTTTTTTTTTTTTTGGTTTTAGTTTTTTTTTTGGGGGGGGGAATGACATACCCAGAGGTGCTTAGGGCTTAGTTAGGGATCACTCAGGGATCACTCCTTGTGGGGCACAAGGGATCATATGTGTTACTGGGTTAGAACCTGGGTCAGCCATGTGCAAGGCAGACACCCAACCCTCTGTGCTATCTCTCTGGCCCTAACTAGATGGTATGTTAAAGTAAAAGTTGAACATTCTGTTCACATCTTACCTTTTATTGTTACTACTTAGATTAGAGAGAAATCATATGGTATAATTATGACATCTTATTATCTCATTCCTACTTTGGACAACCTGGCAGACTACCGAATGTAGCCTGCCCACAGGGCAGAGTCTGGCAAACTCCCCGTGGCGTCCCCAATATGCCAAATACCAGTAACAATGATGGGTCTCATTCTCCTAAAGAGCCGTGAATATAATCTCAGGGCTAGGATGAAAGAGACGTTACTGGGGCCTGCTCGAGGCAATCGACGATTAACAGGATGATTTGTGATTTTTGTGAATTTTGATTTGCAAATCCCTACCTGCTATACTGTCTCCCCAGCCACACCTTTTATATTTTTTTGAGGTGGGTGTTTTGGACCACACCATGTGGTGCTTAGGGGCTATACCTGGCTCCCTGATCAGGAGTGACTCCTGGTATTGCTTGGGGGGACCATGTTTTGGGGATCTGCCAGGGTCTGCCACATGCAAGGCAAATGCCTTACCTCCTGTGCTATCTCTTAAGCCCAGAGAACATTCTTGAAAGTTTGTTGTATATTGAGTTCTTTGCCTTTTGGGGGGCAGGGGTGGTGGTGGTGAGGCTATACCACCAGGTATTACTTATGGCATTGTGCTGAGGGATCACTTCTGGCAGAACTCAGAGGATCATAGGTGGTGCTGGGGATGAACCCGGGTCAGTGTTCTCTGACTTTCTACTTTAGCAATTTAGAGATTTAAACATCACAACTATTCTCCACTGAAGTCTCTGAAACCAAGATATCGTGTATTGGTCAGAATCTATGATTCTGAGGCCGGGGCTCTTTGTACTAAGTTTCAGGAAGAACTGAGAATTTCACAGCATGGTATTGGTTGATAAAAGTGGAAAAGTAGAGCTGGGATAAATTAATCAGAAATGTTTTACATAAACCTAAGTTTCTATATTATGCTCTGTGTACTGGATTCTGAGAAGGAACTGGAACTGACAGAGAGTAAATGCAGAAGCTCGTTGAAAGGATTTATGAACAAGAGATCAGTTAGGGACCTTTGTGATTTTTTTTTTTTTTATTGAATCACCGTGTGATACAGTTACAGAGCTTTCATGTTTGAGTTTCAATCATACAATGATTGAACACGCATCCCTCCACCAGGGCACATTTTCCACCACCAATGTCCCCAGTATCCACCCCCCATCCCAACCCTCCCCATGTCTCTGTGGCAGACAGTTTCCCCTATACTCTCTCTCTACTTTGGGCATTGTGTTTTGCAATATAGATACTGAGAGGATGTCACGTTTGGTCCTTTATCTACTTTTAGCACTTATCTTCCATCCTGAACAATCCCTCCAACCATCATTGACCAGCTGCCTTCTCCCCCAGCTCATGATGCCGGCTTCCAGCTATGGAATAATATTCCTGGCCCTTGTGTCTACTGTCCTTTGGTGTCAGTCTCATATTATGTTATTTTATATTCCACAAACGAATGCAGTCCTTCGATGTCTGTCTCTCTCTTTCTGACTCATTGCACTTAGCATGATACTCTCCAGGCCCATCCACTTAGAAGCAAATTTCATGACTTCATCTTTCCTAACAGCTGCATAGTATTCCATTATGTAAATATACCAAAGTTTCTTTAATCAGTCATCTATTCTTGGGCATTCGGGTTGTTTCCAGATTCTAGCCATTGTGAACAGTGCTGCAATGAATATACAGGTGCAGATGTCATTTCTACTGTGCTTTTTTGCATCCTCGGGATATATTCTCAGAAGTGGTATTGCAGGGTCACATGGAAGCTCAATTTCTAGTTTTTTAAGCAATGCTGATATTGTTTTCCAAGAAAGGCTGGACTAATCGGCATTCCCACCAACAATGAAAGAGAGTCCCTTTCTCCCCACATCTGCACCAGCACTGGTTGTTCTTGTTCTTTTTGATGTGTGCCAGTCTCTGTGGTGTGAAATGATACCTCATTGTTGTTTTGATTTGCATCTCCCTGATGATTAGCGATGTAGAACATTTTTTTCATGTGCCTTTTGGCCATTTGTATTTCTTCTCTGAGGAAGCTTCTGTTCATTTATTTTCCCCATATTTTGATGGGGATGGAGGGTTTTTCTTGTACAATTCTATTACTATCTCGTATATCTTAGATATTAACCCCTTATCAGATGGTGTTTCATCTTTTTTTTTTCTTTTTGGGTCACACCCGGTGATGTCTAGGAGTTACTCCTGGCTTTGCACTCAGGAATTACTCCTGGTGGTGATCAGGGGACGTATGGGAAGCTGGGAATTGAACCTGGGTCGGCCATGTATAAGACAAACGCCCTACCTACTCTACTATCACTCCAGTCCAGTGTTTCATCCTTAAAGATACTTTTAATTTCAGTATCATGGAGGATTCTGCCTACATTTTCCTTATGGATTCAGTTATGATATTGAGGTCTTTAATCCACTCTGGTCGACTTTTGTGCCTGGCGTTAGAGGTCAGAGTTTATTTTTTTACAGGTAGAAGTCCAGTTTTCCCAGCACCACTTGTTGAAGAGGCTTTCTTTGTTCCACTTCACATTTCTTGCTCCTTTATCAAAGATTAAGTGATCATATATTTGGGAATCTGTGACAGAATATTCAACTCTGTTCCACTGGTCTGTGGGTCTCCTTCTGGTCCAATACCATACTGTTTTAATTACTACTGCTTTGTAATACAGTTTGAAGTTAGGAAAGGTGATGTCACCCATCTTCTTTTTCCCAAGGATTGCTTTAGCTATTCGTGGGGGTTTACTCTTCCATGTGAATTTCAGGAGTGTTTTGTCTATTTCACTGGGAAATGTACACTAGTGGAGGGATGGGTGTTGGAATAATGTAAATTAAAGCACAGCGGTAGGGCGTTCGCCTTACACGCGGCCAACATGGCCGACCCGAGTTCGATTCCTCCGCCCCTCTCGGAGAGCCCGGCAAGCTACCGAGAGTATTCGATATGCCAGACACAGTAACAACAAAGTCTCCAATGGAGACGTTACTAGGACCGCTCGAGCAAATCGACGATCAACGGGAGGGCCTTTACCTATTCAATGAAATCCAGTCACAAACAGCTTTGTAAGGGTCTGTCTCAGAGTGATTCAATTTAGAAAGTTAAAAAAAAAAAGGAGATTATGGGGAAAATTTTTATTTAAAAGAATGAAATTTTCTTTGGGGGAGGGTTTCTAGAGACCCAGGTGCCACTCACTGCAATACTCATCTGGTAATGTGGTTCTGACCAGTGCTTGGGTTGCCAATACTGATGTCTGGGTGGGGAGGGAGGGCAGGCTTGGCAGTGCTCAGGGACTACTAAGCCACAGCTGACAGTGCTGGCGAGGGTATTCTGTGTCAGGAATCGAATCCAGGACCAGGACCTCAATATGCAAGGCATTTCTCTACCACTTGAACCATATTCCCCAATCTCACACCCCTAATTTTTTTTGGCTTTTTTGGGTCACACCCGGTGATGCTCAGGGGTTACTCCTGGCTTTGCACTCAGGAATCACTCCTGGCGGAGCTCGGGAGACCATATGGGATGCTGGGAATTGAGCCTGGGTCGGCTGCGTGCAAGGCAAACGCCCTCCCCGCTGTGCTATTGCTCCAGCCCCTCACACCCCTAATTTTTAACCTACAAAAGATAGTATTCTTGGGGTCTGAGTGATTGTACAGTGAGTAAAACATCTGTCTTGCACATAACCAACCCGGGTTTGAGCCCCTGCACCCCATGTGGTCTTCTGAGACTGCCAGGAATGATTTCTGAACACAGGGCCAGGAGTAAACCCTCATTATCACCTAGTGTGGCCCAAAACAAAAACAACAACAACAAAAATTTAGAACAAAAAGTAATATTCTGTGCTTTCACATAATATTT